GGATGCTCAGGAATACCCACACTCACTCTCCATCTCGCCCCTGCTGAGAGCCTCACCGTCACCTCTGAAAGCACCCTCGTTTGGCAGAAACTCAGCCCCCACCCAACACCGGAGCTGCGGAGGACTGAATGTGGAGGCTCTGACCATCCTCTCCTCCACTGGCCTCAAGGCCCCCCTCTTCTTTCCCACGTGCCGCGCTCGCCCTCTTGTGGCCGCCTCTGGAGATGCAACGAAATATCCCAGCCCTGCTCCAGCTACTTCCTACCCATAAAGGGTGGTGTGCCGTCCTGCTACAGGTGCCACCAAGCCTTTGCCCCACCCTCTTGAGGACTTGAGATGGCGAGGTTTCCCGACCTTCCTTTTCCCAGACCCAGAGAGCATGCTGACCCCAGACCCTCCATCAGCAATCCCCGGTTTGGCTTCATTTGGCCCATCCCGCCCTCCATAACCCGCAACCAACTACCTCCATCCGCCTGACTCTGGCTCCCCTCCCCACGCCCACTGCGCAACCCGCAAACAAACCAGTGATGAAGGCTTCTCCTCCCCCGACCAGCCCTCCCCAGACCCCAGTGTCCAGTGTCCCAAGCCCCTTGGGGCTCTGCAGAAGAAGAGGGAAGCCACTTACTAGGTGCGCAGCCGACGCGCAGGCAGTCTGGGGGGGCCATGGGGCGGGCAGAGGGGGAGGGGAGACAAAAAGGCAGAAGAAGTTTTTTTTTTTTTTTACATCCTTCACAGGGAGGGGTGTCTGCGGGCGGGGGTTCCCCCTGGGGCCACTTTCCGGGGACCACGCGTGCCCAGGTGCCCTCTCCCCTTCCTCAGTTGGACCCCTGTCCCTCCTGCCCCCACGAGGGCTCCAACCCTCCCCAGGGCTGGGAGGCAGGGCAGTCAGGTAATCCGAAGAGGGCTTGCTTCTCCTGTCGGAGCAAGATGGGCACCTCGGGAATCTCAGCGTACAGGAGGCCATGGGGGACTGAGGGCTCGACCAACCCAACACCTCCTCATGTCGGGGAGGGAGATGGGTGAGGAAGGCCAGAGTCCCTGCATCCTTTGCTCTGGGACAACTCCCTGCTCAGAGCCCAGGTTGTGACAGACACGTCACTGCCCATGTCGGGCTCTGAGCTAAATGGAGAGTCTGTCCCAGGGCCCCCTTCCCATAGCCATTTGCCTCCCAAAGTCCCAGGGGGCTGGTGCCACCCCTACAGGAACCTTCCTCCTACCTTTCCTAACTTGGAGGATGCCAGGCTGTCACTGGGGACCGGGTGGTCCCTCACCCTGAAGAGGAACTAGTATTAACCTGCTTTCCTTGGGAAGGGGCCAAGACCTCACAGATGGGGACACCGAGGCCCCCAAAGTATGACTTCTGAAGACACAGCAAGTCAGGGACAAGCAGGAACCATAAGTGAAGTCTCCTGCCCCTGCGTTGCTCCAAGGGCCCCACATGGTCAAAGAGCACACTGTCTACACAGAGCTGCAGCCGGGGGCCCCAGAGTTTCTGGCTGTCCCCCTGCTGGGTCACGTTACCCACAACATGCCAGTCGGCCAGCCTTACGGGGAACAGAGTACCAGAGTCCTGTGAAGTCGGGGCTCAGAGCCCTGCATGTCTGTACCACTCATGACCTGGCATTCAGGGGCTGCAGAAAGTTCTGCACCAGGAGGCAGAAAAGCTGGGTCCTCGTCTCATTATGTGACGGGGTAAATCTCTTCTCTCTGAGCCTCAGCTTCCCTCCCTGTGAGCTGAGGGGCTTGAATAAGAGGATCCTGACCTGGGAGCAAGAAACAGGTATTCGCTGGGCTGGCCCTTGCCCTTCAGAGAGGGGGCGGTTTCCAGCCCTCGGTTAACAGCAAAATCCTGGCATCCTGTAGCTCCTCCCAGAACAGGCTCTGGCCAGAACCCCAGGGCCCAGGAAGTAGAGTGGGTGGGGGGCGCCTGGCACCCCCAGGGCCCCTGAAGGTTCCTGCAGCGGAGGTAAACAGATTCCCCTGTGGCTCTGAGCGGCATGGCCCTCTCGGGCGGTACAGCTGAGCTCAGCACGCGTCGTCAACCGCAGCAGAAGAGCGTGGGGAGCAGCCGGGACCCTGAGCCACGACCTGGCACCAGGGAGGGCGGAGGAGGCAGAGGGAGGCCAACGGAGAAGTCAGAAGTCCCAGTAAGAGGAAGGAAATAAGAGAGGGAGCAGAGAGAAAAGAGGAAGAAAAGGGGGAGCGGAAGAAAGAAGCTGGACAGAGCGGGGAGGGGAAGAATGTTGGGGTGCGGGTGGGAAGGTGCCAGGCCTGGTGTCAGGTCACGGGGGCTCTCGGGGCCAGCAGAATCTTCACCAATGAAGGGTCCAAAAAAGAAAAAAGTGAGCGGGCTGATTCCCCGCTGGGGAATGGGGCCGAGAAGGAGCCCAGGGCTTTTCCCTCCCAGCAGGGGAGCCCAGGAATGGGGATCCCTCTGTCCAGAGAAGTGGTGTCACCTCCAGGCCCACCTTCTGCAGTGGCCACACCCTCAGAAGCCGCCACTCCAGTGGGGTCTGAGGAGCACAAACACCCATCGAAGACGGGCACCCCACGAGGGAGCCGGCTCCACCCCGGAGGAAAGCCAGGAGCCGCGAGTGAGTGGGAGAAACAGCACCCCCACCGGCACACGGCACATGCCCGCCCAGAGCACAGCTTGGGGGGCGTTAGCTGGTAACCTACTAACTAGTCACCTGCGCCTCGGGTTCAGGGAATGGACAGAAGTGACTGGTCTGCTCAGACCCACCAAGGCCCAGGTTATACACCAAGACCAGGGCGAGGGTAGGAATGCGTGACGGGAGGAAGTCATCTGCGTGGACGGGAACTCAGGAAAGGAACCCGGGCTTCTCGAGCCCCATGTGGCCCCCCACCAGCCCCACCCCAGCTGCACAGGTTGGAGACAGGGAAGGAGGGGCAAGGCTTCTCTGCAAGGAGCCTCAGGAGCCCGCTGGCCGGAGTGTCACCTTAGAAGGGACATCGCAGAGTGGCAGCGGGCACTCCTGGTGCAGCCCTCATTCAGAGCTGTCTCCTCTGGAGCCCAACAGAAGGAGCTCGGGAACCAGCGCACGGACCCCGGGGAACAGGTGTCCTCCCACGGCTCCGAGGGGGAAAGGGCTTGGGGATATCACATGCGTTTAGCCCGGCTTGCGAGGCCGGCGAGAGTGCTCTGTAAGGCTCGCGAGGGCAGAACTAGGGCCATGACTGGGAATTCCCGAAGGGGAGGCTGCCACCCAGGAAGACCATCGACTGGAGGTGGAGAGTGCCTGACACAGCATGACTGGGAATTCCCGAAGGGGAGGCTGCCACCCAAGAAGACCATCGACTGGAATGGTCGTCTCGGAGGTGGAGAGTGCCTGACACAGTCGGTGTCCAGGCACAGGTAGAGAGCCTCCCATCGCTGGGGGCAGGCACAGGCAATTCGCATCAGGGGCGGGCTGAAGGAGGTGATGTCTGAGGGCCCCTCCAGCTCTAAGATTCCTTCATTGCAGTGTGCCTTTCATGCCATCTCGCTGACAGCTGAGACTGCATGGGCACTCCTGGTGGAGGGCAACTCCAGGGAGGGTGAGGCGGGGCAGGCCAGGCCGGGCATCAGCCCCAGGGTCCATACCGGGGGGCAGAAGGCACCCAGGAACACCACAGATCACACCAGAATAGGGTGAGGTATCCAGGGGCTTCTACAGTCCTCTAGGGACAGACAGTAACGGCTCTGCTCAGGGGCTGCAGACAGCAGGGTTCTGGGAACCTACTCAGTGTCTGCAGGTGTGCTGGAGGCCAGGGGACAGGGCAGCAGGCAAAACCTGGCATCCTCTACCTGCAGGGAGGCAGCAGCCTCAGGGCAACTTTGGCCTTCTCTGGCCTAGCAAACACCCCACCTCCCGAGGCAGGCACTCAGTGTCTCTTCCCAGCCGCCCCCCACCTCCACCCCGCGGGGAGAGAGCTCCCTCTTCGGGACCCAGCACCAAGTCTGCATCGTTCCACTGAGCACCCGATGAGCTGCACGGCTGCCTGAGAAAGCCCGGCTTTCCTTCCCATGGGATGAGACCAGAGGCCAGAGACCAAGCCCTGCCAGGATTCTCTCCGGTCCCCAGCGGCAAGTCCAGCCCAGGACTGGGGCCTTGGTGGTGCTACCTGGCTGTGCAGCAAGCAGGATGGGGGGCAGACTGGGTCGTGCAATGTGGGAAGAAGCAAGCCCCCACGCCTGGCTCTGAGCTGACGTTCCTACCCCAGGACGATTTTCTTTCAGGAAGGCTGGTGAGTTTCTATGCGTGTGTCCTGCATCTGTCTTCCCATTATTCCGTTTGAGCCTCAAAACCATCATGGAAAGAAGGCAGAGCCAGGATTCTTATCCCCATTTTACAGAGAAGACAGAGGCTCAGAGAGGGGAAATGACTTACCCCGCAGAGAAGGAGACCAGGGCTAGAACCCAGATCTTCTGGCCCCAGGCCTAGTGCTCTTCCCATCGCTGCCTGAGGCTGAGGCTGGGTGGCGGGTGTGGATCACACAGCAGCCACGCGCCTCCCTGTACACGCATCTCTCGGTATTTGTGGATGCACGCATCTGCACCCAGCATTTGGTCATAGTTCATGGTGAGCCATGTTAGAGATGGCATCTCTGTGCATAGGGCCGGGCACAGCCAGGGGTGAGAGGCAGGTGGGAGGACTGTCCTACTGGCTGTCAGCCTGAGAGCCAGCTTGTCCTCTAACCTCTAAGCCCTTATGTGGCACAGACAGAAAAACTTGCCCATGGGAAGTTTGCTCCTAAGGGTGGAGGGTCCCAAGGGCCTATCAGAGCATGTTCTTCGGACCAAGGACCCTGCCTTCTGTCTGATCAGAAGGGGCCTGGGCTTCTCTGAGGGGGAACCTAAGGTGGTCCAAGTGAGGGAGGAGCATCACCTTCCCTATGAACAGACGGCCCCAGAGCTTCCTGCTGTGTCCCCGTCACACACACAGAGCCACGTGCCCGGCCCCCCCAGAGAAGCACACGCATCCCGGGGCGATCTCATGCTGAGTACGCAGATCTGGGCAGTCTGAGAAGCACAAGGCCATTCAGGGGGTCCTAGGCTGTGCCTTCCCCCCATGACCATTTCTGGGGTGCCAGGGAGAACTGTACAGCGTGGGCTGTGATCACGGTTAGAAGCCAGGCTTCAGGGAACCCCAAAATGACTCTGAGGCCCTGGCTGCCTGCACAGCCCCCTGCCCCCTGCCCCCGCTTCACTCAGCAAATCCTTGTCCTAGGATACAAAGGCTGAGTGGCCGAAAGGGGAAAAGACACAGTATAAATTTATTAACAAGGTAAGGGGCCCCCAAAAGGCCACAGTCTGTCCCACAAATGCCCTGGGGACCAGTGTTAGCATGAGACTCCGGATAAATATCTAAAACTCAAAGCTCTGTGTTGTCACCAGTCGAAGATTCTAATCCACTCACAAGAGTCTACTTCTCCCCCAGGCCCAGGACACCACGACTCTGGTGGCCTGGACCTTCCTACACGGCAGGCCCCTGGGTACTGCACGTCTACGCGCTCAGAGAGGCTAGTCTGAAGCGGGCAGATGTGACCCCCGCCCAGACAGCTCGGGACCTCTAACTTCTAGCGTTTCTCTGGCTGAAAGGTCCGTGACTCTGGGGACCTCCCCCCATTCACCACTATAGTCCCAGGTGTGGAACACACCTGGCTCTTACGAGGTGACCCATAAATACGAGCTCAGCGAGGGACTGTGCGGTTATCTTTTTGCCCCAACAGGGCTATTGTCCGGCCCCACAGACGCCCTGGGGACTGCCCGGAGAAGAGGAGCCCCGGCCTGCCTTGGGCGGGGCAGACGCAAGGCTCCTGATGCCCCAACACCCTGCTCTGTTAGCGACAACGAGGAAAGCACTGTACTTTAGGCAAATGACCTCAGTTTGAGTCCAGGCTCTTCCTCCCCACTCCCACCCCCACTCCCATCGCTAGCTCTGTGGCGTTGGATAAATCGGTCCATGAATTTAAAAATCTATAAAACAGAGAGAGCGACATTTCTCTGATGATCTGGTGTCTTCACGGGGCATCTACGGGACTCAAAAGTGAAAGCAAAGGGAAGATGCCACGTCCCGATGCATCCAGAGTCACACGTGCACCAGTGTACACAGGCACCGACACGGACACGGCCCTCGTACACACAGAGCAGCTGAGGGCGCTGTGGGGTGGGGGCGCCCCTCGCCTCTGCATCTGCGGCTGCGCTGAGCTCAGACTCGCGCGGGCGCGGTGGGCGTCTGCGAGTCTCCCCAGGTGAACGTACCATGAATGAGCCAGTGATGAGCTGACAGCCAAGAGTGAGCTGCGTCGTTACGTGTGTGCGCAGGACAGACGCCGCCAAGACCCACGTGAGCATCCTGGCAGGGCAGCTGTCATAACCCAGACACACTCGGGAAGGTGGTATGGCCACACTCGGGGCACCTCCCCCGCTCCAGTGACGTTGAGCGCAGAGCATCACCCTGCTCTGTGCACCTGCGCCTGCGCCTGCACCCAGGATGGAGCGCTCGGGAGCTCTGACCCTCCCCACCTCCAAACTCTCACTGGCGCCACCACCTGCTTCTCCAGACAAAGGGGATGCGAGTCAGAGGCGAGACCAGGGAAAGGGCCAGGAACACGGGGTGGGGTGGTTACCGAGGTTGACAGTGAGCTTCATCTGGCCCCCGTCCAGCTCGAGGCGAAGGGTGTCGGCTGACTCCCTGGAAGTGGTGGCCATCATGAGCCCGTAGGCCCGCTGGGACATGAAGCGCAGAGACACGTCCTCCGCCTCCGTGTGCATGGCATTCGGCAGCATGATCTTCATGTACATGGACCCATCGTAGCTCAGGACCGTGGCCTCTGCCCCAGGAGTAGGGAGAAGGAGGGAGCGGGGGACAGGCCAAGGCCAGCGGAGGGAGAGAGAAGACCGAGAGAATCATTACAAGGAGGACAGGCCCAGGGCCGGGCTATGAGGGCACGCTGAGGATGGGGGAGGGGGCACAGGGGTGGGTGGCGGGGACACCTGGGATGAAGACTGGCCTCACCTCTCTCACAGACCCGCCCCAGAAAGCCGGTCCCGATGCAGTCACACACGAAGCGGTTCCAGCCCTCTCGACAGACGCCCCCGTTGCGGCAGGGGGCGGACGCGCACTGCTTCAGCGTCTCTCGGGAGCAGAAGGGGGCAACGCCCGCAGCCCCCTGGGCTTCCGCCAGGCCCCGGAGGTCGCGGCTACGCCCGTCTATGAAGAGGTCCCGCACGCAGCCCACGTAGCCAGCCCGCAGGGCCGCCGTCCACACCTCCGGGGGCAGGGGCAGGTCCACCCGCCCCACCTCAGGCAGACCGCCCAGGTACAGCTCGCTCTCCAGGTCCAGAACCTCACTCTCCCCAGTGGCCAAGAACGGTGTGCTGCGGCTGTTCACCGAGATGGAGCCTGGGGATCAAGAAAGAGCGGGCCTCAGTCGGGGAGGCAGGGAGGCAGACACCGCAGGCCGGAAGGGATGACGGACCTCTCAGCCACGCCCCTCCGCGCCCCTCCACCCCGAAGGCTGCCGCAGCCCGGGGTGGGAGGCTCAGCCTCACTCCCCTGCTCAGACACCGCCGGACAGAGGTCCTCCCAAGTTCAGGACCCCAGCCCAGCTGCAGTGAGAGGTCCAGACTCCTCCTTCCCCCTCCGAGGGAGTCCTCAGAGAGGCAGAGGAGGGGGACACACCCCCAACAGGCTGGAGTCATTCCCCGCACCAGTCCCTTAAACCAGGAACCTTAGGAGGAGGAAATGTTTGAATCCCACTAATGTTTATTGGGTGTTTACGACTGTAAGCCAGGCACTCAGAACTTTACATATATTATATCACTTAAGCCTCACAGTAACTCTGTGAAATCGGTCCTTCACCATCCCACTTTGAAATGGCAGACGAGCCTTAGAGACACTGAGGAAGCTGCCCAAAGGGCCACAGCGGGTGAGGAGCAGGGCCAAAGTGCCACCCAGGCAGTGTTCCCCAACCCCCGGCCTGGAGCCCCTCTGTGGCCGGCGAACAAGATGGGCGAGCAGATCAGCCCCTGGGGCCTGTGAGACAGGACGGCAGCCGAGAGAAGGGAGGCCAGGCACGGAGCTTCGGAACTGTAAGAGTTCTTTGGAAGGAGAGACTGGTTGTCTTAGGAAAAGATTGGGGACCAGAGGGGAGCTTCGGCGCTTTTACTGAGCAAGAGGAAACTGAGTACGGGCCTTGCTCCAAGGTCACGCCAAAGCAGCTCTGTTGGGACTGCTCAAGGGTGTGTGTACACGGATGGACGTGGGCCATCAGATAGGGCCAGAGCTGGTCAAGACCGTGACCCAAGGACCCACCAGACCTAGTGCGTGGGCTCTCGAGATCTATGGGAGGCTAAGGAGACCCCTTCTTGAAGGCCCAGGGGTTCTCTACAAGAACCTGGGCAGCTTTCCAACCTACAGTTAGTGATCACTTGTGTGGAAACCCCAGGAGACAGACGAGTGAAGACCCCAGGTGGCCATGTGAGACAAAACCAGGGGACGAAACCGTTTACCATAACGCCCAGGGACGGCAGCCTTTCTCTGAGGGAGGGAGAGGAAGGAACAGCAAGGCCATGAGAAGACACCACTTCCAGAAGCCACGGCAGTCCCCTGCCCCCCGTGCGTGCAGGAACAGTCACTCCCCCCAGACTCGAAGGCCAAGTGCGGTGACAGCCGGGGAGGCACAAAAATCCAGCTGACGCTGATAAGTGCTTAAATTGGAAAATATGTCAGTTCTCATTTATATCAGTTCTCTCTTTATCAGATAATTTTCTCGTGTTCAACAAGATGAATTAGGCAGAAAACAAGAAGAGGATGAGGAAGGGAGACTGAAAAGGAAGAATGGAAGAGACGGTGGCTAGAAAAAGAGCAGAAGGTCCAGGAAACTGCGCCTGCCCGACCTCGGCACGCTCTGCTCTGCGGCTTTACCGTGCCGGGGTCCTCCCTGGGGCAGCCGCCGTCATGTCCCCCCGACCAGAACAGCAGCCCTGTGACAGCAAAGGCTTTTTAAGTTCACCGCTGTCCCTACCCCAGCACCTTGGACAGCACCCGGCAGAGTCGGTCCTCAATGAGATGTTTCTAAAGTGAGTTGTATGAAAGAAAGTCGAATGATTCAGACAGAAGGGAAGCATGGTTGAGAAGTTTTGCTTTGGTTTGTTTGTTCGTTCGTTCGTTTGTTTGTCTGTTCGTTTAGGAGGACGGGATATCTGCTCTGTGGGAGGCACCGTGCTAATGCTTTCACGGTGGTCTCTTGTTTTCTCGTCTTGATGACCCCGACGTAAGGAAACTGAGGTTTCGAGGGGTTGAGTGATGGGCCTACAGTTACACGCACGGTAAGTGGGCGAGCTGAGCTGTGAACCCAGGTCTGACTGGCTCCAAACGCTAGGCTCGTTCCGCCCAGGCAGCAGGACGGGGTGACAATACGAGGGCTGGGAGGGCCAGGGGAGGGTGGAGGAGAACGGCAGGGAGGAGTAGAGAAAACCGTGTAGGACAGAGAGGCCTGGAAAGGATGTCAGGGCGCGGGGACAGGGGTGACCAGGACGAGAAGGGAAGGGACCAGAGGCCTCCTGACCTTTTCGCCCGTCCCTCTGGAAGTCCACGTGGCACCACTCGCCGTCGTTGACCTTGCGGCTGGACGCTCGCAGCTTGATGCCCCCAGAGCCCATGTCTAGCAAGAGGTAGAGGTAGCCGTCCAACAGCTCCATGGCAAAGTAGTCAGCCCGCTGGGCAGAGCCGTGGCTGCCAGCCCCGGCCCCGGCCCCGGCCCGCCGGCCCTGGCTGAAGAGCAGCAGCCCGTTGGGCTCGGTGGTGCGGAAGTCCAGGGAGATGGACCCGGTGCGCTTGGCGCTCCAGCGGGGCAGTGCCACGAAGGCTTCGGGACTCTCAAAGGTCACGGGGTCCAGGGCAGCCACGTCTTCACAGCGGAAGGACAGGTCCCCCTGCAGCTTCATCTTGGGATCCCCTTCCTTTGCCAGGCGGGACAGCTCCAGCTTGAAGTCGTTATTCTTATAGACCACCTGCAGGGAGGGGCAGGGTGGAGACGGAGAAGCAGAATGGGCTCCGGGCCTGGCCACTCCTGCCCAGCAGCCACCAGCACCACGGGACCCTGCCATCCGGCCCTGGGCGGGTCCCTGCTCGGCAACACCAGACCCGTCTGGAACTTCACGCACCGAAGCTGCGAACGAGCTCGTCCGGTTCCCCACTTACACCCCCACCCTGTCTTCCTGCCCAGCTCTAGCGCGGAAGCCCATTCGTAACTGTGGCAGGACAATCGCCGCCAACGTCTAGTTGACACGTCCCAGCTGGCAAAGTATTTTCATTTACACTCTCATCTGCTCCTCACACCCACTTTAAGTAAAGACCGACCACTCATTTTACAGAAGAGGAAACTAAGAGTTAGACAGGTCAGGGGACCTGGCCAAGGTCACAGGGCTAGTGACCGGAAGAGCCGAGACTGAAACACAGGTCTTTAGTCTTCACGTCCAACAGCTGCCTCGAGGGTCCCCTGAGAGGACAAGGAACTTACGAGGCTCGAGGAAATAAGAGAGGAGAAGCCTCTAGGTGGAGTGGGTGGCCGTAGGTTTTGAAGGGAGAAGGTCCCCACCATGGACTGGAAGGCACAGAGGCCCCAGGCAGCTGGCCAGGCCAGACTAAATCGCACTGAGGACGGGGCCAGAGGATTCCTGGCGGACCCCAGCCCCTCCCTGGCTCCACTCACGTCCTTGAGGCAGCCCATGAAGTTGTTGCTGACAGGCGAGCCCGGCAGGTCTGCGGTGTTGGGGCTGCCCCCGATGTAGAAGAAGTCGTCGGAGCCCAGCATGGTGTAATCCTCCTGCGTGTAGCCTGTGGTGGTCAGGATGCCGTCCACCGAGATGGTCACCTGCCCAGCCCAGGGAGGGAGGGGGAGAGACAAGGAGACAACCGGCATCAACTCCCTGGGAAGAGTCTCGGGCTGGGCAAGGGAGGGGCCGGGGGCACTGGGGGAGGGGGACCCCCCATTTTTATGTCTGCTTGTCTCCGAGGAGGAACAGTGTGGGAAGAGAGGGAAAGGGGAGAAGGAAGCAGCACAAGATTCGATGGCTTCAGGGAGGGCTAAGGCCCGCCCCGGGGTCCCCGGCTCAGCACGCAGAGGCTGAGAGTTCCCGGGGTGCTCACCAAGAACCAGTTCCTGGAAGCGGCTCCAGACGGGAGCGGGGACCTTGGACCAGGGCCCTCGTGTGGGGGGGGTGCAGACGGCACCCTCGTTCCCCTCCTCCTGAAGGTGCTCTCTGGACCTGCATGTGATTCAGAGCGGCTCATAACTGAGGCCGAGAGCACCCATCCTCCCTGGATCGTGGCAGCTTAGACTCACCTGCAGCTCTCCCCTTGGGGTGCTGGGGAGTCCTTTCAGTCTTAGCCCAGTAGGGGGATGGCAGAGGGCAAGGGCATGAGGAAGGAGAACTCAGATTTTCCTGGGGAGCCTTGGGATTCCCACTGCTACACCCCTTTGCTGAGTCGGTCTCTTTACTCCCAGGTCCCTCTGTATTCAGGCCGACGTGACCTATTCGTCGGCCTGCCTTTCTTTCTTTGTCTTCCTTATGGGTATCACCATCAGACTCTAGGGAGTCAGGGCCAGGTTAGGGAACAGAGGGGGACAGGGCCAACCTCTTGATACCTTGACTGTGGGCTGAAGAGTCAGGTAAGAAAGCAAGGTGGGTAAGGATGGGGAGTACCCGGTGTCCCAGGGAGGTGAGAGGGGCACTGTACTGGTCTGGGGGAGGCAGAGTGACCTTGCGGGAGGTGCAGGGGACTCTCGGACTAACCCCTCCCCAGGCGAATGCCCACCTGGCCCTTGAAAAGTCCACAGGAGTAGCCCGCAAGGGCTCCGAACACCCAGCGAGGCTGTGGGAGAAGAGTCCAGGGCTGCTGGACCATGAGCCCTGACTCTGGGAAAGCTGCATTTAGGACAGGCATGTGGGAAAAGTGGGCAACCGCTTGCAGGGACCCTCATGAAGCTGGCTCACAGTGAACCCGAAACTGCTTCCTCAGGCCACAGCTCACCCCACTTCCCACTTCCCTAACATGCCTCGGTACCCCCTTTTTGGGCAGACTAGAGACCGGGGCCTTTTAGTCACAGCCCGTGATGTCCCCACTCGCCCCAGCCCGTTTGCACACGCCACCAGCCATCTTCCAGCAACTGGTCCCCGGGGTTCCGTTGTCACGGGGGAGGCGGGGAGTTAGGAACTCTTAAGGGACATGAGCAGAATGGGAGCCAAGGGAGCCTCCCCCACAGGACCCTAGAATCCCCCTCGTACCGAGTTGGAGCCCCCCAGTGAGTGGGGAGGGCTGAGCAAAGCGAGGGCCGAAGGGGCCCCTCCTGGGAGCCATCAAACCTTGTGCTGGGGTGACTAGGGTCGAGGACAGATGGTAAGGGGGTGTCTATGTGGGAGGGGGTAGTTTGAAAGCTTTTGAGTCCTGTTTTGAAGGGAGGGCTGGTCATGACTGTTTATTTCTTCTTCCCTCCACCCTGTGCCCCCGAGGCTGGGAAGTGGGGGTCTAGGGAGAGAAGGGGAGGGTCAAAGTATTAGTCACAAAGACATGCGGACAAGATGGGACTGGGCAGAAGGGGGCTGGAGAAAGGGGAACAGGACTGGGCTGGAGGGGCAGGGATAAGATGGGGGGTGGGTGGCAAGGTGAAAGGGTCTCCCTGGTGCGGAGCCCGCTCCATCCCGCCCTGCACCCCGACTCCTGATGGCGCACTGGGAGACCAGGAACTGGGCCACTCAGCAGTTCCTGGGCCTACATCTGGCCGCTCCGGAGAGACAGTCAGCTCCTGACGAACGGGCAGCTGGCCTGACAGGTCCCTGTGGTCCCGCTAATCCCAGCACGGTCCAGGGACACTTCACAGTCATTAAAGGCAAACGTCAAGTCATCTGCTCAGGGCCACACGTGGCTCTCGCTGCCTGTGTCCCATCTATAAACCATATGCCTCAGGAGCCTTTGGTAGACAGAACCTAGTCATCTGAGACCACTCTAAACAGGTACCCCTGCTGTGCGGGGGAAGGGCCCCCCAGGCCCAAAGCTCCCCAAGAAGAGGCTCTTCCGGCCTCTCTCAGAATGTGGGGCCTTCCAGCCCACCTGAGTCACTCGGCTGTCCTCCCCCGCAGCCCCAGAAGCCAGGGCACCAGCTACTGGCATCGTCCTCACTCTAGAGTCTCTCTTCGATCCAGCCCATTCGGCCAGCCCACCTGCCTTTGCCCTCTCGGAGTCAGAAGGACCCGATGGGGGGGAGGGTGGCCTGAACTCCCCTCCAGACCGGGTGCAAATATGGCCTTGGCTCTATGGCTTTATGCAAATCACTGCCACATGGTGCCTCCTGGCAGAAAAAGGCTGCCTGAATCACCCTCTTATCTGTCCCCCTAGCCCAGGAGGTGGGGGAGAAGGTAACGGGAGGTGGGTAACATCAGGAGGTGCACACGGGAAAGGGGGTCAGCCTGGGAGTGGAGGGAGTAGAGAAAGTAGGGGACGGGCACTGGGCGGAAAGGAAGCCAAGGGCAGGGGAATGGAGGGAGGTCTCTAGGGAAGGCAAGGAGGGAGATGACAGATTAGTAAACCCAACTGTTCCCTCAGACAAATCAGTCCAGACACAAAAATGGCGGGTTCGTTAGTAAAAGCAGGAAACAGGGGAGTGATTCCCCTGTCCCCCTCCACCCTGGGGGTTTGTGACGCCCCTGCCCCCCAGCCCCCCCGCGCAGCTTCTGGAAGGGTGTAGGGCCGGCGGGGGAGGCGGGGGAGGGGGCAGGGGGCATCGTGCAACACAGAACAGCCGCTGCGGCAAGGACACGTGCAGATTAGAGAGCCAGGGTGGGGGCCCGGCCGGCAGGAGGGGCGGGAGAAAGCAGCCGCAGGTGAGAAAGCATGCAGGCCGGGGGCATAGGGACGAGCAGAGATGGAGGCGGAGGAGCTGTGGGGGTGCAGGAAGGAGAAGCTTCCTTCCAGAGGAGGAGGGGAGAGGAGCCCCCACTAAGACAGAGACATCTACGGGTTGAGAAGGAAAGGGAAGGGACATTCGCCTCAGACCTTCCTCACCGAGGGCGACCCAGGCGTTCATTCCCCCTGCCCATTCGCCACTGATCACAGACCCCAGACACACCTGCGCACACACCACGGCCCACTGACGGCAGTGGGAGAAGTCCCGACCGGCTCATGGCCAATCAGCATCCTTTTCAGCATCAGGACCACGTCTAGGGCCCCAAGACACAGCAGAGACTCTGCATCCGGCCCACGCCAGTCCACTCGACACAGACAGGCCCGGCCTGAGTGGGGACTGAGCAGGCCAAGAGGAGGGAACCACAGCTCTGCCCCGAGAAGATCCATGCCCAGCCAGGGAGGAGGGCGGGGAGCACTAGAGACACAGGAGCCCAGCGCCTAGCCGCCCAGCCTCGGCTCCACTCCCCAGGGGCGGGGAGGGTGCTGGAGGCGCTGCGAGGGGCAGCCTGAGACATGGGTGGGCTCTCGACCTTCCGCTCTTCTTCTGCTCGGCTCCCCTTAGGCAGGCGGGCAGAATGGGTAACCAAGCTCTGGCCACAGACAGCCCTGCGGGGCACTCCAGGCCCACCATGCCCACCACGCCCCAGGAAGACAGGCCGAGCAAGAGAGACCTCCCCTCTGGCACCGCCCGGAGCCTTTCCCGGTCCCCTGCTATGACCACAGAGTCACTGGCCTCCCTGGGAGGGCGGCTTGTCCTGGGGGAGCATCCGACTGAGGGCAGGTGCTTTAAGCTTGGGGGAGGGCTGGATGGGCTTTGGGGGTTCATGAAGCCCCTCGACATGGTATGCGAAACTGCATCAGTGGGCATTTTGTTTTCCTGTGAGACGCCATTGCTGTGTCATCAAATTCTCAAAGGGATCCACCAGCTGAAGGTGGCTGAGAAGAACTTGTTTATGTCAAAGGTCCAGGCCTCCCCTTAGGATTGAGTGGGGTGGGAGCGGAGGGTGAAGATGGGGTGAGAGGTGCGGGGTGGGGGGGACGGCTAAGGGAGGTGTGCAGCCCCGCTGTGTTTAAGTTTAGCCATCTGCTTTGGGGCGGGGCGGGGACAGGGAAATAAAGAGAGAAACTGGTTGGAAAGACACACTAGGAAGACTGCTGAGCCGGCAGCTACGGCCCATAGCGAACCTCGGAATCTGGGTCTGATGATAAAGTTTGAGAACAGAAGCTTCAGGTCAGAAATCCCAGGTTCTTCAGCCGTCACCATTCTCCAGGATGATGTCATTTTACTCTCTGACTCTCAACTGTAAAAGGGGTTTAACAACCCCTGTCCCTCCCACTCCGCCAGGCTTACTCTGAGGACCAAACCCAACGACCTAAGCGAACCCTCTGGACCTTGTCCGTGACTGGCTACGTGAGCCCAGGCTTCCTCCTGGGGCAACGGGCTCCCCATCTGCTAACTCGGAATGATTTCTGCCCGCTGCCTGCAATCCAGGCATTCAATGAGTTTAAACAATATTCAGAAGGTGAGAGGTCTTTAGAGGAAGCACACTTAAGCCAAATCTCTCAACCGGTGGGCCCTTTCGGTCTGTATCCGCCCTCTCCCCCGGGGAGAGATGCTCAAAGAACAAGAAAGGGGTCCATACAGACGAGTTGGTGAAAAGCCGAACCCGGCTGAGGAGTGCCTGGGAATCGCTGCAGATGGGAGACCTGTCTCCTCTGGTCCCCTTTCTCTGACTCCAGTCTTGGCCTGAGAGAGCTGAGCCCTGGGACAGGTTCCCAAAGGGTTTAGGAGGCTTCTCAGGCCACCTAGAGGCAACGGGCTCTGATCGTCAAGCAGTGGGGCTCACACGCCAGGGAGTGTGGACCTCCCAGCCCGAGAATGTGGCAGCACTTTCTCTCGCCAGGGCTGAAACCAGAGAGGGTTGTTTGCGTCTTAACCAGCTTACTCAAATCATTCTGTCTCTCCTCCTCCTCCCCAGGCGCAATTCTCAAGGCATTCTGGGGTTTCAGGCAGTTATTTTGGGACTTATTCCTAAGAAGGGACGGTAATAGGGTCTCCGGTGGGGCCAGAGGCACTGTATTCTCCCGGGTTTGCTATAGGAAGGGAAGGGAGTCATATCTTTACAAAACATCCCCACCCTGGAAACACTGAGAGAATCAGTGAACAGTTTATGAAGCTTAATAAAATTATAATTCCCTTTACAGAGTACAGATGAATTCACCTCCATTACCCTTCTCGACCTCTCCACTGACCCCATGAGACAGACAACACAGGCGTAAGATCGGCCCGTTTGGTAACTGAGCTTTGGGCTCAATTCACGTGGTCAGTCTTTAACTGAGCTGAGACGAGCAGGAAGGTCTGCAGGGTCCGAGTTCGCCGATGGCATCCCCTGGGTGCTCGGTCTACTACATGGGCTCTCTTGCTTCCTTCTGTCCCCAGAGCCACCGTGAAGCTCTGTAAAGAAGGAGTTCCCAGCGCCAGGAGGGCAGCAGCTGACTTAGTAACTGCAGCTGGACGACAGAGCTGTGGACGGGTGGTGCCAGGCCCACCGAATGGCTCCATTTGAACACAGGACCAGAATGGCCAGATGAGGTCTCGGATTGGGGAGGGCTGGGATGGCTATCGTCGTGGGCACTGGCTTGGGGACAGGACAGAGGACGGAGCTACCATGGGTCTGTGGATGTGGGGAGACAGACCTGTGAGAGCATCAGGACAGGCCAGACGTGGCCTCAGAAGGAGAGCCTCCTGGGGAGGTGGGGGAGCCATGAGCCTGGGAGCCTAGCTACCATGCTCGCCTCCTCACCAGCCAGGCAGCCACACGGACCTGGGAGGCTGGGAAGGCCGGGCAGCTGCCTCAAGCAGCTCGGGCCCCGTGGGAGCAGACACGTCCATCTGCAGGGTCCCCCGCCCGGTGCTCAATCACTCTGCATTATTAATAGGCGATGACTAACCGCCTGCTACAGCAGAGCCAGGGCCAGGCAGGCACGGGGAATCCCAAGGGAGGGCGCACAGCAGGGCCTGCGGGCACACACTCCGAGGCTGGGCAAGGAGCAGAGGGCCAGCCTCGGCCCCCTCCCTGTTCCTGCTCCCACGACCGCCTCCATACGGCGCCCTCCCCAGGCTCAAACACACACGCACGCACGCACACGGTCACACAGTCCCCAGCTCACACCGGCGTTTACACATGTAGTAACCAGCAGAGTCTCACACACACACAGTACACTCTCCCACTAACATCTCCTAAATGTCCCACCAACATTTACACACAGTCACACCCACACACCAATACACACCAGATGCGTTTACATGCACACCCACACCGACACTCCCCGGGACTGAGCCCAACCCAAACAGGGGAGCCTGGCGACAGCTACCCCAACTTCGCCCCTGCTGGGCTTCCTCCTCTCCACCCCCTCAACAGGGAAGGAAACCAGTCCGGGTCCGAGGCCATGCTGGACAGGCGAGGGGCAGAGAGGGGACGGGAGATGGAGGGGAAGGAAGACAGTGTGAAACACAGTGTTAGTCAGAGCAGCAGAGCTGTGGGGGGCGGGAACTGGATGCTGTCCCTGGTGGGGGGAAAGTCCATTCGTGCCATGCAAAATGTGGAGGGCGACGGAACCAGGACCCCTCGAGGCTGAGAAGTGAGGGAGGGAATGTCACCTCTTCCCTGGCAGCCAGCATGGGGCAGCCCCCAGACTGGTATGAACTGGCCTTCTGAAGACGCTCTGGACTGTGCGTCTCCCAAGGGCGTTTCTGCGCCCACCCCCCACCCCCCGGCTGCCACTGGACGTCTCACCCCCAGCCCCCTCCGTCGACTCGAGGGGCCTGTCCGGGAGCTGACAGTGAGCAGAGCGTAGCATGTCATGGGATGGTGTTTTCCATGGATTTTCAGGAGACCAAGAAAGAAACTAAATCAAAGAGAATAAACGAGGGAGAAGAGGGGGAAAGGAACAAAATAAAGCAATAGAAATAAGCAGCCTGGCATCGGTGCTGGTCTGACCAGAGCCGATGAGCGCGGGGCCTGCCCCCCAGGTCCCTCTGGCCGGGAATCTGAATGCAGGAGTCAGGGCTTAGGGCAGGGACAGGCCGAATTCCTCGGTTTCCATTTGTCTTCTCGATTTGAGTTTGGACCAAAAAAAAAAAAAAAAGAAAGAAAGAAAGAAAGAAAAAAGAAAGAAAAGAAAGGATAAAAGAAAACTAAAAGAGAGAGAAGCAAAATCTAAAGGTTGTCCAGGACGCCAAAAACAACCAGGAGAGCAAAACAACCGAAACCAAACAGGGAAAGGAAACAAAAGAGGGAGAATCGAACAGTTAAAAAAAAAAAAAAACCCACGGCAAACCAAACGGTAAGACAATTAGAGTGATATCTACCAGATAATGCAGTTTGTTTACCATAGCGTGTCCAATCCCTGCGTGCTTCACCGGAGATGTGGGGTAAGGTGGGGGGGGGGTCAAAAAAAACGACAAAGACAACAACGAAAGAACAGAACGAAAGAAAAGAAAAATAAAATGACCAACTGTGAAACTCGAGGAAGGAGGAGAAATCTGTATCCACAGGTATGTGGTTGTTTGCTCCGACCCTCCCCCCTGAAGGTTCGGCTGAAGTATTTCGTCCCAAGAAAAGTAAATGAGGATGGGAGGGAGAAATAAAACACGTAACAAAATTAAATCCCTTCTTCTCCCAATCTCTCCCCCACCCCTCCGCTGGATTCCTCGTGCCCCCAACCCCTCCCGGAGGAAGAGCCAGCTGCAGAGAAGGGGAACAGTTAAAGACCTTGGTTAGTAGGTAAGAAAACAACAAAAGAACTGGACCGAGAAAGCAAAGACTTAAAGATGGCCGACATTCCGCAGATGAGACAGAAAGGTTAGTTCGGTCGTTCATTCATACCTTGCCCCACCTGTCCCTGCCCATCCCTTGGCCCCCCGGGGTTATAAGCGTGTTAGTAACACACACAGAGTCGGCGACGGGGTTTTCCAACAGAGGGTGAGAGAGAGGGGAGGCGGGGGGTTAAGAAGCAGACCCAATTATGCAGTATTAGTAAGTCCTTCGGCTGAAATGTCAGGGAGTTGAGGAAGGAAGGGAGGAGAGGAGCGAGGAATGGGCTGTGGGCTCGGGCCAGGGGTGCGTTCGTTGGCTAACTGGTCAACCAGGTGGCTTTCCAGAGAACTGGCTAAAGGGTGAGTTGGTGCTGGCCAACTGGCTGACCGATGACCATGTTGAGTTAATGGGTTAACGGGTTGGTGAGGGGCCGGCTGGCTGTCAGGCGGGGAGGAGCGTGGCCCACGTCCCTAGGGGAGCACAGGAGGGGCTAGTATGAGGGGTGATTTCATCTGGAGGCAAAGGGACAGGGTTCCCAAGGAGCACGGGAGCGGGTATGGGTGTCTGCTTGTCCTGGGGATGGAGGATGGGCAGAGAAATCCAGGGGGTTGTGGGGGGAGGGGCAGCCCCTCTTGGTTTTTTCCTGTTCCTCTTCCTTCAGAAAGGAAGAGAGAGTGAGTTGCCACCAGAACCAGGAAAAGGAAGCCTCGCCCTCCATGGCCTGGCACAGGACTCACTGTCAGGTGACATCTAATCACCCCAAACCCTTCCCCTCGCCCTCCCTTTCCCCACCCACAGCTGACTCCTCCTTCCTGCCTAGCTCGACTCCTCAGAGCCCACATTCCCCAGAAAGTTCTCCAGGTTCTTCAGTCGCCCCACCCCCACTCTCTCGTGCTCCTCTGGGCAGCCATCCTCCCAGAATTAAGAACCCACTGCCACCACCCCTGCAAGTCTCTGGGGTGGGTAAGGTGTTCCCGGCAGCCCAGCTTCCTTCCATGCACACCCACAGACCCCGGAGCCCCCAATCCCCGCAGACAGCACCAGAAATTCACCCCCTCTCCACACCACACCATACCTCTAAAATCCTCTACTCCTCCCTAAGCTATAGGCCAGCTTCTTCTATCCCAGTCTCTAGAGTGCCCAGCCCCATGTGGCTCTAAGCTCATTTTCTCTTCTTATGGCCGAAGACAGCACAACCACCACCTTCAAAATTACCCTGGTCTTTGGGGAGATATCAAAGGGACTGAGGCAGCTTCACTTAGAGCATCAGAGATGGAGGGACACAATTGCTTGATGTCCATTAAATACTAAACTGGACACTCGAGAGAGTGATCGTGAGAAGGAAAGGTATTCTAGGGACAGATCCATTAGTTCGAGAGTTCTTATAACCAGTGGGCACAGAGCTAATTCAGTAACACAATTAATAAGGGCCTCATATAATTAAAAATAACAGAATTCAATATTTAGCAGCCAGATGAAGTGCTGAATAACCAGTATTAATTATTCGGGATGCGAAAGCAGTTTACATAACGGGAGGGGGCCGTGCCTGGAGCAAGGGGATAACGGGTGATTTGGGGACTCGGGGACTAGCACTACCGGCTAGTACGACTGTCATGAAATGAAGACGCCCAACCGGTCAGGACAAGGAACAATTAGCTTCAGGGCAGCTAATCCAATTGCACCGAAAAGGTAAGAGTTGCCTGGTCTCACTGCCCTTGTCGAAGAAGGCAGGGAAAAAAGGCATCGGAGGGAAAACCCAACCACTCCCGTTTTTGAATTTGATTGTAGAGACTAAAATAAGAAAACGAAAATCAGGTTTCAACTCTCATGAACAAACACCAGGATAACAAGTCGGAGAGCAAATCCAGAAACAAGATTGAGAGGGAAGAGGTGTGAGTTCGAAGCCCGGGCCTTCCACTAAGGTGTCCGGAGACCCAGGCTTCCTCGGAAAAACAACGGAGTCGGAGCGGGCGAGACGGGGCCCCTCCGGACCCAGGGACTGTGGACGCGGACCATGGGGACCGTGCCCGAACAAACACCAGGATAACAAGTCGGAGAGCAAATCCAGAAACAAGATTGAGAGGGAAGAGGTGTGAGTTCGAAGCCCGGGCCTTCCACTAAGGTGTCCGGAGACCCAGGCTTCCTCGGAAAAACAACGGAGTCGGAGCGGGCGAGACGGGGCCCCTCCGGACCCAGGGACTGTGGACGCAGTCCATGGGGATGGTGCCCGAGGGGCCAACTGTGGCCACATACTGGAGTGGAGCTTCCACTGGGACATTGCTGGTGGCCCGTGACCCGGTAGCCCGTGCCTTCCCAAAGGCCGGGATCCGGAGAGCTGAGGCTTTACACTATGTCAAGTGGTCACTTGCCACGGCCAAGGGCCTCGCTCCACCTCGAACTCTTGGTGTAGCCCCAGCCCCTCAAGAAAGCCAAGAGCGGGGGTTATACACAAAAATCACAAAAATCTGGATGAAGGCAATCTCTGTGGAGCTCGAACAAGAGTTGGGACAAAGGAGAGACGCGCTGCCCCCGCCCCCACCCCCACTCGGAGGTAAGGGGGGCCCCGTTTCCTGAGACAAGCAGAACATTCAGATGGTTTCAAGACGTGAGAACATCCGAGAACGGCAGAACCACAAGACGAACGACAGCCGCCTTTGCATTCCGCACCGAGGACGACAACCAGGCCCTCCTCGGCGGGGTGGGGGGCAGAGAAATGGAGTGGCTTCGAAGCGAGAGAGACTTCCAGGTCTACCCCTTCCCGACCGGATCACCTTGGGCAAGTTGTTTTAACCTGCTGAGCCTCCATCTCCTCACTGGTGAAATAGGAAAACCTCCCGCTTCACGGGACTGCTAGAAAGATTAATGAGATACAATAGAGAAATGTGACCCTTGATGTCAGGGGCTGGTGGAGGAGAGAGGTGAGGATGAGGTCTGAGAAACGCTATAAAAGAGGGAGACGGTCCCGTGCCGCTGCGGAGGAGGGGGTGCGAGAGGCTTTCTCCCGGCTTCGAAAAGCAAAGAGGAGTCGTCCAGAGGACAAGAGATCGTTCGATGCTAGTGCGAAACAGATCTGCTGAGTCCTCATGTCCAAAACTCACCAGCTGGCTTCAAGATAGAGCCTAAGTGAACCAGAAAAAAAAAAAAAAAAACACTAGAAAAACCACTAAAAACACTCAATAGTTGCTGGTATTAAGCCCTCAAGGAGCCCACCGCCTAGAAGTGAAGCGACGAACACAAATATTGACCACGCAGATAGAAGGTGATGGTAGGGCTAGGATGTAGCAAAGGGAGACCGGCTCGGGGATGGGCGGGTCGAGGAAGGCTTTATGAAGAAGGTGGCGTTTAGGCTAATGGTGGATTGAAAAAACCTACAGCTAACGGTAAGGCAGAGAGCCCTTCGGTGTTCACGTGGTGCCAGGCACTGTGCTCTGTGGTGTCCCCCCAATTAGTCGGCGAAGGCTCCTTCTCACTTTGCCCTTGAGGAGCTAAGCACACAGAGGTTACACCACTCGCCCCAAGTCCCTCGAACTAGTGGCAGAGCTGGGATTTGAACCTAGTCTGTCTCACTGAAACCCCTGCTCTAGAATTTTGACAGGCAGAAAGGTGTCAAGGGGGAGCTAGGGACGGAGTATGCAAAGTAGCCAGTTACACCCTATGACAGGGCATGGGAGCTGCCAGAGAGGAGTGGCCCGGGCCACAGGTCGGGGAGGGATTCCCAAATGCCTGGCAGACCCCATTTTAAGGGGACTCCCTCCTCGGGACCCAGGGGAGCAGCATCATGGGAGCTGGACGGCAGGAAGTCAACGGGATATCTTGGGAGCCAGCTCGTCCTCCAGATTTGGTTGTAGCTAATGATGGAATGAGTCTGCACTTGGCTTGCATGGTGGTGGGGAGCAAACTGGGTATGGGAGGAGAGCGGGCCCAGGATTAAAATAGGACTTGGGGAATCCTCAAAGGTAATCATTCCTGCAAAGATCCCCCAAGAGACACGTCCAGTCACAGCGGCCTCAGGCGGGGTTTGAAGGGAGCGGAAGGCAGGAGCAAGGTGCCGCCTCAGTCAGGCCTCCAGTTCTATCGTGTTCTAAGAGACTCTTGATACTAGCAGGGATAATTATCTACTTTCGGGGAAAGGCGGGAAATTCTGCCCCCGGTCCTTGGAGCTGGCCTCTTCACCCTTTCCCACAGCTGCAGAACCAAGGGACGGGAGACACTCTCCGTGCTCGTTCTGGGGCAGGCCCTCCCCACTCCGACTGTTCTAACCACCATAGTGGAGACAACACAGGACAGCCCTCCGACCTAGTCAGGGAACGGGGTGTCATGAAGAAGGGCAATGCCCCGAGAAGGAACGCCCCCACCAAACACGCCACCCTTCAGAGAGCGAGGGGCACTAAGAAGAGCCACCCGGGTAGGGGTCCGACTGGGACAGGTAGCAGCAGGCTCGGAAGCAACAGCAGGACTCCTCGCAGTGGGGTGAAGGCACTACGGGAGGAGGCTCCCCATGACGGCATCGCTCGGCCGCGCCGAAGAGGAACAGGCAAGAAGGGTGAGAGGCCGGCCAGAATCCCGACGAGGCCCCACTCATGAGCCTTTCGGTGGGGGGAAGGGGAGGAGGGCCAGGAGCGGGGAAAGGTGAGCCCTCACATGACCGGAACCAGGGAGTCCAGAGCCGACGCCTAGTAAGAGAAGGGCTGCCAACCAGCAGAATGGCGCCTCCCAGGGCGGGGGCGCTCTGTGCTCCCGGCGGCTCTCAGATTGCTGGAGGCGGAGCAGGAAGCGCTTCCTTGCCATCAGCTACAAGACAGAGTGTCGGACCCGCAAGAGAAGGGCCAGCAAAAGCCTACGCACCTGGGCCCAGGTGCTGAGTGAGCAGGGGAAGGAGGCAGGACGTGGAGACAGGATGAGCAGCGGCCTCTCCCACTTTCGAAGAAGAAGGGTCTGGCTTGACCCTGCCTGAGGTGGGAGCTTTGGGCTGGAAACAAGCTGCGGCAGCTGCTGTCAAACAGAAGCCTGACCAGAGAGATGGCCTCGCCCGCCATAGCCACCCTGGGCCTGGTGAAAGGCGCAAAGGCCACTAGCAAGAGAACGAAGCCAGAGCCAACGCCCAGAAACAGCAGCACCCCCACAGGGCGTGAGTCTGGGGCAGGAGTGGAGGGAGCGCTGCGGAGAAGAGCCCCATCTGGCCTGCAGGGCAATCCAAGGATCCTCCTCTGAGCCCGCTGACAGCCGGGCTCCTTTGGAGGGACTGGAGGGGAACAAGGGAGTGCGCTGCCCAGAAAGGTGGCCCCACGCCCCCTCCAGCCTGCTCTCCCTCACACACCTGCTGCACCTCCGCCTTGCTCTGACCCCATCTCCGCCCCTGTCCTAAGATGGCCCTGCCTGGGGGCCGGCCACATCCTGCCCCTGCACACACCTCAGCCTTTCTTTTGTGCCTTTCTGCCCTAGTGTCTGGACACCCACAGCTGCTTCACCAGCAGAGTCTCCCCGACCCACAGCACCGCAGGGCCCACCCATCCAGGCTCCGTCTCGCTTCTCCCGTTTCCAGAATCATCCTTCTGCCAGATCTCACAATTCCTGAGCCCTGGCCCTTGAAACCCCAGCAACCTCCACCGGTCTGAGCCTGGCCCTTCCCCATCCCTCAGGCTCCGGCCCTTCAGCCTCCCCCCCAGCCCGGCTCCCTGGTCCTGAAGCCTGCCAGCTACTGCTGCCTTCCTGGACCCTCGCAGCCCCAAACTTCCATCCTCCCCGGAACCAGGCGTCGACGCCCAGCACTCATGCCTCGCACCCACAGGCCCACTCTGCCCCAGACGCGGCCGGCCCCCGGCCTTCTTCCTGCTCCCCCTACCTGGCGCAGGTTTCGGGTGACCCGGACGTCGTGCCAGGCGTTGTCATTGAACTTGCCGTTGACGGGTTCCACGAGGGCCTCGAAGGCTCCCGAGCCCAGGTTGATGACCAGCCAGACGGCGCCAGACTTGAGGGACAGGTTGACGTAGTCGGCCGACTTGCCCGTGTGCAGCATCAGCCCGTTGCGCTGCAGGGTGCGGAAGGCCAGCGTGATCTCGTCCGTGCTGCTCTGGATCGGGTTGTGTGACAGGTCGTAGCAGAAGAACTCATTGCCTTTGAAGGTCGCCACAAACTCCTCCTTGCCTGGACGTCGTGGCATGGGGAGAGGGGAGAAGGCTGAGTGGGGACAGGGTATGCCACACCTCCCTCTTCCCCTCCACAGATCTGGGCACGGGGGTCCCGCCTTGGGCCCTCTCCCCTCCCCGGGCCTGTCCACGCTCCTCCCTGGACGCTGCCAACTCTGCTATCGGAAGTCAACTTCTCCCACGTCCATTTCCAAAGCAAGAGGCTGCTAAGTGGTTCTCACACTGACAGCTGACAATTAAGCTGCCACAGGGCCAGGCAAAGCAGAGGTTCTCATTGCCTCCTCCCCCACCAGCCCTCCGTCAGCCACTCCCCTTAACAAAGGGATGTGGAGGAGACACAAGAGGCTTCAAGTGACTTCTCCCCGGGAGTGCCGCCCCTGTGGCTGAGGCACCAAGGTCTCCTGCGTACTGGCCGCGTCCCACTCCTGCCTCTTCTTGGCGATGACCTTTCCCAGCCCAGGAACGGTCTCAGGCCTCAGCATTAGGGATGAGACTAGTGGGGCCGCTGTACAGCAGTGAGCAGATGAGAAGAACTGGCAAGCGGTGGGATGGGGGACGCAGGGGTAAGACACATGAGCAGGCGATGCAGGTGACAGGGATGTGCAGCAGGTAGCCGCGGGCCACCAGGTGGGGCTTACGCAGGTGGCCACCATGCCGGCTATCACCCCCATCCCCAGCTCCAGCCTGCGAGGACGACTCAGGCAGGGCCTTGGGCAGAGAGCCTCAAACGGCCCCACAGGGTGGGTGTGAGACCCCGTGTGCCAGACAGGTGGTTAGATGCGAGAGCGCAAGGGCACGCCTGGCCCGCTGCTTGCACACGTGTGTGCGTACGCATAGAAGCACCCCACACAGGGTCCCTTCCACTAGCGCTTTTTAAGCAGAAGCAAAAATGACTGGGAGAGCCTTAGGGATATTTAGCGTCCTATAAATGGGTGACAAGTGAGCAGTCAACGGCTCGGTGGAGGGAGGTTGGGGTCCCAACCCCACAGCTTCACAAGCCAGAGCCCACACAGAGGGAAGAGAGTGGGGCACGGAGCCTCGGGAGAGCAGAGGACCTGGACTCTGACAGTGGCTTGCTTCTCCTCCCCAGCAAATGGTCCAACTCGCCCACCTCACAGAACGAGATGGCCAGCGACGGGCCGCTACAGAGTACGGGGTGGCGGGTGAGGTTCTCAGCATAGGTGCCCAGGTCTGGGAAGGAGCAAGGCCCAATGCTGGGTGCACACACACGGCCCTCAGAAGGCACCTGCCCTCCTGCCGGCCAGGCCGCAGCAGCAGGCTCCACGTGTGGAAGCCGCGGCTCTCTGGGTGCAGTTTCCGCAGACGCCCCTCCCCCGCACACAACAACCCCCGCTTCTCTGCTTCCGGGCAGGCTGCCCGTAGATCCTGTCCTCGCTGCCTCCGGATGCCAAGGCACCAGCTGCTGCCCCAGAGCCTGGCACCACTCTCGCTGCAGCTGGCAAGGCCCGGTTTCCTGAGGCCACAGGGCAGCGAGGCTGGTGGGGACACGAGTAATGTGGGGACAGTCGGATCCAACTCAGCCTACCTCGGGGCTCCAGTGGGGAAGGCTAGAGAACAAAGGGGAGGAGTCAAGTCGAGACAAGAAGGAGAAGGTGGG